TAGCTTGGTGGGTTGTAGTAGTGTTGGGGGGACGGGGAAGGGGGGGGGGGCTGCACTCTCCCCAACTACGTCTCGTCGACGACTGTCACTGACAGTCCCCTACATCTTCTGATGGACTGTTGTTATAACGCCCCCCCCCCCCCAACTCCTCACGTTTCCCCCCACACCTCAAAGACTGTCGTCACCCACACCCCCCTCCCCACCCTCCTCGCCCCCTCACATCCCTTGACGGACTGCCATCACTCCCATTAATATTTAATATTCCCTGCCTCATTATATCACAACATTGAGGCCATTAACACATTGCTTCATGCCTGCCATTATAAACTTTAGAGCTATCTCAAATTTAGGCGAGTTCCTTAAGAGTATGACTAGCTCGTAACTAGATGGATATTGTATGCAGAGTTGATTGTTCGAGATATTGTGTAGTGGATGGGTGACTGGTATGTGGTAGTGTGGTGATGTTATGTGGTTGTTGAGAGTGAGAGAGAGAGAGAGAGAGGGAGAGGGGGGGGGGAACTGTTCACGACAACACACCGGTTACATAGGGGGGTTCATACAACAGGTCCTCCTAAAAGGAAAGTACTGTGTTAACGATGTGGTCGATCATACAAATATGGACGTGATGGACTAATAGAAAGTATTCTTTTGTGTTATTGAATTTTTACAAACTGGAAAGTTTTTTCGATTTATGTTGCTAATGAAACCTAACCCACACTGCGCCCTTGGAAAAATGGCAGACAATTGGCGTGGGACTATACTTGCGTATCCACCCTGGCAGCGACATACATCAACCTCTCTGTCGGCCAAGCAGGAGCGGCGGCGACACACACAGTCATACAAGTCAACCAAGTACAGGGTAATAGATCACTGGTACAGCTTTATTCCAATAGGATCCGAGACCCTTGGTCCATGGGGAGAGAGTGCAAGGAGGTTTCTTAAGGATCTTGATTCCAGGCTCATTGACACTACAAGAGACCCTAGAGCGGCAAGTCCTCGGTTCCTGCCCGGCGTCGGAGGAGTTCGAAGAAATCTGCAGCATCTAGGAAACTAACTTCCCTTCATTTCCTCTTAATGTCCACTTTTTGTAACCAATCAGATATGCAACTTAACTATGTAACCGTGTATAATAAAGCGTACAACATAAATAATAAAAAATAGGGTGGTAGGAGAAATGAACACTCATATGTATTTCGAGTTAAATGGCAATTTTTTCTCTGAATACTCTGTATTCCCTTCTCCGAGGCTATGGGTCCCTACATTTGCACCAGATGTGGTACCTATATATATATATATATATATATATATATATATATATATATATATATATATATATATATATATATATATATATATATATATATATATATATATAATATAATATATGTGTGTGTATATATATATATATGTGTATATATATATATGTGTATATATATATATATATATATATATATATATATATATATATATATATATATATATATATATATATATATATATATATATATATATTATTTATATGTGTGTGTATGTATGTATGTATATTTATTTATCCATATATCCATTTATTTACCCATCTATCTATTCGTCTATCCATCCCTCCATCTCCATCTATCAATCTATTCATCCATCCATCCATCTACACAACCATCTATCCTTCCATCGTCCTATACATATATCTGTGCATCCATCAGTCTATTCATATACCTTTCTATACATTTATGCCTCTATATATTCATTTATCCATCTACCTTTTATTATCCATCTATCAATCCACCTACTCATTTTTCAGTGCACATGTCTATCTGTCTATCTATCTATCTATCTATCTATCTATCTATCTATCTATCTATCTATCTATCTATCTATCTATCTATGTCTATCTATCTATCTATCTATCTATCTATCTATCTATCTATCTAATCTAACTACACATCTATCCATCCATCTCTCCATCCACCTATACATCTATCTCTCCATCTATCTATCTATCTATCTATCTATCTATCTATCTATCTATCTATCTATCTATCTATCTATCTATCTATCTATCTCTCCATCCATCTATCTACTGTCTCCTCGTTCTCACCCTCTTCCATTCCCCGTTCCCCACTTCTCCCCCCCCCGCCCCTTTGTTATTACGAAGACTAAACTAACTAAAACTCTCGGAGATTCACCCCAAATATTTCACACCTAACTCCTTGAAAATCACACGGTCGTTCACTAAATGCAAATATTTCTTAAAGCATTTGATTTTGCATTTGGCTACCCCCGACCAGCCTATGACCGTGCCATACCTCAGGCCATTCCCCCTGCAAAATTGGGTGAGGCTAGCTCCAAGCGTCTGGCCTCCAATTTTAGGCAGACAAACATTCTCTCTTATAGTGTAGATTTTTTTATATCGGTTTTCTCTCTCTCGTTAAGTTACCTTGATCCTGGTATGGAAGGTATCTACTTGGTCTGTGATAAGTTGTTCCTCAACTGAATGTTTTCTCTGGCATTTCTTATTTATTGTATCATAACATGGCAGTAATGGAGATAAACATTTTCACCTCAGGTTTCTCTGAGTTTAGTTTAAAAGACAAAACATTAAAGGCAATTAAGACAAACAGTACACGTAGGCTCCTGAACATTGTTGGCCATAAATCACTTAAAGTCTTCTAAACTCCAGAGATGTAGAGGCAGATATCAGTGGGCCGGGTGCGGCTCACTCTGCTTATACACAGTACTCCTCAGGAATAATTATTGCACGCTCGAAGATGATCAAAACCACCCACTCTCTGTTTACCAGATCTCTAAATATTACTCCACGTGCACTGTTAACTCAAAGCTGTACTTGACTGTGTTACTCTAAATAACAATGACAGTCCGCCTGTGGACTTACACGTCTGTCCACGAAAATTGTTAACTCAAACAGTACTTGATTCTAGAGTAGCAGTAATAGCGGCAGAAGTGCTAGTATTAATAGTAAGAGTAGTAGCAGTAGTAGTAGTAAGGGTACTAGGAGTAGTAGAAGTAAGAGTAGTAACAGTAGCAGAAGTAGCAGCAGCAGTAGTAGTAGTAGTAAGAGTAGTAGCAGTAGTATAGTAGTAGGAGTAGCAGCAGCAGCAGTAGTAGTAGTAAGAGTAGTAGCAGTAGTATAGTAGTAGTAGCAGCAGCAGTAGTAGTAGTAGTAATAGTAATAGTAGTAGCAGTAGTATAGTAGTAGTAGCAGCAGCAGCAGTAGTAGTAGTAGTAGTAGTAGTAGCAGCAGCAGTAGCAGCAACAGTTGTATTAGTAGTAGAGGTTTCAGTAGCAACTCTTCCTTCCTCCGAAGCCTTTACCAAGACGGGAAAAACTAGTTCGGAGCCTCCACAAAAACGCCACAAATGAATAACAAATGACTGACCCATTAAAATTCCAATTAGTCTCTCGAATCTGTAAAATGGCCATTCCTGGTACTTGTTAACATAACAGGAGCGGCAGATCTCCTGCCCTCTGATACCCTCTCCTTGACTCCCTGCACACCCGCTCCTCCCCATCACTAAAACTACATCTATTATCAACATTTCGAATGAATTGAAAATATATTAATTAATCTCCTAATCCAGGGAAGCGTTTCTGGTTAAATAGTTTCAACAAAATATCTATTAAACAAAAATAAAAGTTTGTTTACGTTCTGGAAACCGGTGAAGATGGCGGCTTGGATCGTCGACTTTGACATGATGGCGATTATTATCTGCCAATCCTGACCGACACTGATTTATGTCGGTGGTTCCTGTTGATCCTGCAGTTATGGGGATCATAGATAATATATGAAAGGTATAAATGACAGAGAATAAGATCAAGGGGAAAAGGAGAAGGCCAGAAGAATGTGTATATAATGGGGACGATCGATCCTCACGGAGGGCGAGACATTCGCCACATTTACCAAACATCTGCTGACATTTGATAGAGAAGTTGTTGTTTTAACATTTATTTTGTTGATGCATTTAGGTTTTTTTATCTAGTTTTATGGGGTTAGTAAATAAAGAGAACTGTCACAGGAATGTGTATGAAGAACATGTGAACGTTAGGTTTTACACGCACTCACGCACGCACGCACTCACGCACGCACGCACGCACGCACGCACGCACGCACGCACGCACGCACACACACACACACACACACACACACACACACACACACACACACACACACACACACACACACACGTACGTACACATATATTGAGTACATGCAAGATCATACAAGCTGATGAGGTTTGCTTCAAGACTGGTCACGGAACTGAGCTGGTTGAAATATGAGGAAAGGCTGAAGGAATTTCGTAACACTACAAATATGGTCAAGACATAACACTTTTTGAGAGGATTCCCTCCCTCTCTCTCTTCAGCACCGGGCTTCAACTCCTGGACCCAATCTTTCTAACTTTCGGTTGACTGATGCAATGAATAACATACGACTCTTTGTCTCTTGTCATATCTCTCAGAGCTGTAGATGGCAGATCTATAGTCTCTGTCCTTCATCATTGCACAAGGCAACCAAAAGTTGCAAGGCCGGGGCCTAGGCCTACTGAAAAGAGAGCGGGAGAGGTTCCTCCGAAAACCTTATCTATTTCTAGTTCCGTTCGCCAGCTCCCTTACACTGAACAAGTGTTTCTTCACCGTGTGTCAGTCACCAACAGTTTAACCCTTCAACAACAGTGTTCCTCCAGCACCAACAGTCTCTTCCCCTCCACCTCCCCACTACTCCAACAGTCTCCCCCTCCCCAGCACCAATAATCTCCCCCTCCCTCCTCCCCCACCACTACTATTTAATTAGAATGAATCACTCTCTGTTGGTCCTGCTAGGGGGATTAAGCTGGGGATTTTCCCCGTGATCGCGGATGATCGCTGCTTGGTATTGGCCGCCGTGGGAACCCTGGGGGAGAAATCTTACTCTAAGGGAACTTGTCTGGAACACGACGGAGAAAGTCGAGTTGCCACGCGAGCTTGTGTTTATTTTAGAGATTATTATCAGTTTATGATAATGAGCCGGAGGGCGGAGGACGGAGGGCGGAGGACGGAGGGCGGAGGGCGGAGGGCGGAGGACGGAGGGCGGAGGGCGGAGGGTGGAGGACGGAGGGTGGAGGACGGAGAGTGGAGGGCGGAGGGTGGAGGACGGAGGACGGAGGACGGAGGGTGGAGGGCGGAGGACGGAGGACGGAGGGCGGAGGGTGGAGGACGGAGGGTGGAGGACGGAGGGTGGAGGGCGGAGGACGGAGGGCCGGAGGACGGAGGGTGGAGGGCGGAGGGTGGAGGGCGGAGGACGGAGGGCCGGAGGACGGAGGGTGGAGGGCGGAGGGTGGAGGGCGGAGGACGGCGGGCCGGAGGATGCGGAGGGTGGAGGGCGGAGGGCGGAGGGCTGGAGGACGCGGAGGACGGAAGGTGGAGGGTGGAGAAACAGACATGGATGAACAGTGGGATGAAGGAGTGGATGGGTGGATGAGTGGAGAAGTAGAGGAAGAAGTGGTGGAGAGTTGACGGGGGGGGGGGGGGTTGAATGGAAGAATGAAAGGTTAAAAGGATTAATGAGAGGAATATTAGAGTAGAGGAATTACCTGTGATAACCTAGTTCCCACAAGAATTTAATGATACATAGTTAGCACTATATATATATATATATATATATATATATATATATATATATATATATATATATATATATATATATATATATATATATATATATATATATATATATATAACTGAAAACTCACACCCCAGAAGTGACTCGAACCCATACTCCCACAACTGGTATGTACAGGGACGCCTTAATCCGCTTGACCATCACGACCGGACATAAGGAAGTGATAGCCGAGGCTATATGAACCACTTCCCCGCCGGCACTCGGATGGTAAAAATCGGATGCTTTTTTTTACCATCCGAGTGCCGGCGGGGAAGTGGTTCATATAGCCTCGGCTATCACTTCCTTATGTCCGGTCGTGATGGTCAAGCGGATTAAGGCGTCCCTGTACATACCAGTTGTGGGAGTATGGGTTCGAGTCACTTCTGGGGTGTGAGTTTTCAGTTGTATATAGTCCTGGGGACCATTCAGGCTTGTTTGCATATATATATATATATATATCAGGTTAGAAAATGTCTCATTTAATATACATATGTGTCCACGACTATATTTGTAAATGATGAGAAACTACATTTCAGGGGACCTCGGCCGCTGTAGCTGGTACAGTTCCCGCTGGCGAAGGTAATGTGGCAACTCTTTTTTTCCGTATTCTCATTGTATTGTATTTATCTAATATTGTATTCAGTAATTAACGATAACTTCAACAATTACAATGAAGCGTTAGAGTACGAGTCTCATCCCCAGATGGCAGGAGTACAACCTAGAGTGCGTCTCACCTTATACAGTACCTCTAGAGTGCGTCGCATCTTGTACAGTATCTCTAGAGTGCGTCTCACCTTGTACAGTACATCTAGAGTGCGTCTCACCTTATACAGTACATCTAGAGTGCGTCTCACCTTATACAGTACATCTAGAGTGCGTCTCACCTTATACAGTACCTCTAGAGTGCGTCGCATCTTGTACAGTATCTCTAGAGTGCGTCTCACCTAGTACAGTATCTCTAGAGTGCGTCTCACCTTGTACAGTACCTCTAGAGTGCGTCGCATCTTGTACAGTATCTCTAGAGTGCGTCTCACCTAGTACAGTATCTCTAGAGTGCGTCTCACCTTGTACAGTACCTCTAGAGTGCGTCTCACCTTGTACAGTACCTCAAGAGTGCGTCTCTCTTTTATTAAAAGGAAATGTAAAATTATTAATATTGGCGATAGTAAAATCTGCTTCCCAGCCAGCTGCCAGAGGGAGGCGCTACAGGCGACACATTACCACAGTACACACATGTGGTGCACCTGTGTGGTGCATCCATGTGACACACCCATGTGGGTTACTATAGCAACTCTAACATGACATGTATATAAGTGATCTGTATGAGATACAAGGATGTAAGTGCTGGGTGATGATCGTGATAGTGTATCAAGTACTGCGCGTAGTAGGCAGCCAGTACTTCACAAGTGATAAAACTTCAAAGTACTTTAGCCTTGTGCCTACAATAGCTGCCTCCAGTACCTGTGAGAATACGTGTAGTGTACAACTGTGCCTTCATCACTGCAACATAATAGGCTGCAACTTTCACTGCAGCATATCCCTACCAGCAGTAATTACAATACATCAGTGTAGTGTTGACAGTTACAGGTTATACATGCCGCTACCTGTAACTTTGCCTGTAGTGTTATGTCGATCTGGGGATCTACAACATGGGTGATCTTAGCAGATAACATCCCAGCAAACACACAACCTAACTACACGTGCATTACCCTGTTATCAGCACAGGTGGAGAGGGGGGTGGGGGGGGGGACATTTGACAAGCCATCGACTTCCTATCCTCATCGAGGCCCCTAGATGGATAGTGGCCCTCAGGTAAATCCAGGTGAAAATAACTTTGTAGTTATACTGAGTGTTGGACGACAATTTCTAAAATAGACAGATTGTTGAATGTGCTGAGACAAGAGGCAAAGTGATAATGTCATCTCCTGGCATGTATTATTTCCCCTGACTAACTTATTATACTCTTTATACACACAACATGTTATTGAAGAGTTAATGATGTGGGAGAAGTGAAGCTGCTGAGGATTAGTGTCTGGTGGTTCGGGGCGACCCTGATCAACCAGGCTGCGACTCATACGTTAGGCTGCGAGCAGCCGCGTCCAACAGCCTGGTTGATCAGTCCAGCAACCAGGAGGCCTGGTCGACGACCGGGCCGCGGGGACGCTAAGCCCCGGAAGCACCTCAAGGTAACCTCAAGGTAAGGAGCCTCTTATGGCTTCAAGTACTTGTATTGCTTCCTTCACCGTCTCCTTAATTATTCTTATTCTTACATTCGATTTGACGATACGAGACCACAGGCAGCTGCAGCAAGACCACAGGCAGCTGCAGCAAGACCACAGACAGCTGCAGCAAGACCACAGACAGCTGCAGCAAGACCACAGACAGCTGCAGCAAGACCACAGGCAGCTGCAGCAAGACCACAGACAGCTGCAGCAAGACCACAGACAGCTGCAGCAAGACCACAGACAGCCGCAGCAAGACCACAGACAGCCGCAGCAAGACCACAGACAGCTGATCAAGACCACAGACAGCCGCAGCAAGACCACAGACAGCCGCAGCAAGACCACAGACAGCCGCATCAAGACCACAGACAGCTGCAGCAAGACCACAGACAGCCGCAGCAAGACCACAGACAGCTGCAGCAAGACCACAGACAGCCGCAGCAAGACCACAGACAGCTGATCAAGACCACAGACAGCCGCAGCAAGACCACAGACAGCCGCATCAAGACCACAGACAGCTGCAGCAAGACCACAGACAGCCGCAGCAAGACCACAGACAGCCGCAGCAAGACCACAGACAGCCGCAGCAAGACCACAGAGTACAAGTGTGTTAGTCAAAATAATATTGAGAATGCAGCCCCTGGTAGCTGATTTTAGAACGTCGTTTTTTGTGAAGTGTTTCCTGAAAACTTGACAACACATTTCCGACTTAATTTAAAAATTTGTGTTTTACATTATACAGGGAAACTTCCCATTGAAATGTTTTTGATTATATTTTAAATATTTTAGTCCGAGTTTTATCAATATTTTAAGGAATAGATATAACGTGCCGGGGACAAGAAGCCATTAACCGGCTTAAGGAGAGTGGTGTTATTGGGCAGACCCAGCGGTGAGTAAGATGAGGGAGGGACTCACTCTTTATCCCCAGTCCTTCATTGACAAGACATTCAAGAATACTCACATATATATATTCCGTATACTGCACCCTTCTCTTTATGGTTATGTATTAGGTGCAAGTGAACGGGCTCGGAAAGAGAGAGAGAAGGAAATGAACATAGAGGAATGAACATAGAGGAATGAAAATAGAGGAATGAAAGAGCAGTAGAAGAGGAGATATAAGAATATTTCATGATATTATTTGTATTGAGAGAAAGGCAGACATATGAGCCCGGAGATACAGTGCAAATATTCCCTTCTGGGAACCAAAGAGTCTGACGCTGTGTCTTATTATGATCAGTACTGTGTGAGATATCTTTACAAAATGTCATAACTTGTTTCCATCTTCCAGATCTATTGAAATTTGTATTGATCTTGTGACATGAGCTTGTATTGTCCATTATGATTAGAAAGCCTCTTGGCTGCAGTGTTCTCATGTCTTAACTGACAACTGTAGATGGGGCAAGTCTAGGCCCACGAAAAAGGTTGTTACCAACTAGTCACTACTTGGGAGTGTATTATTGTGTTTGTGTCTTAAGACTGGAGCTCAGTGTGGTCATGAGGTCCAGGTGACCCGCCTGTCCTCTCAACTAGCAAGTCTCATGATGTACGTTATGGTCCCCATCGTACAAAATACAAAGTACTGTGAAATGTTTTCGGCTTACAAATATCAACGTTTTCTATGCAATTGTTAAGTGGGTGGCTTGGGTTCTTACATTTCTGGTTAGGTTAGCACTTTGTATTTTGTACGTTGTGGTCAATGAGAACGGGCTGGTGTGTTGTGTGTCTGGGTACTGCCGCCTCTCACCCTCCTCCTGCGCACATCTCACCCTTTAATTTTACGAATGACACTAAAAACTTACTAAAGAAAGTCAACGCATTGTTGAATTTTTCAGTGTACCAGTTGTTAGTAAAACTATCAACACTAGCGAGCAACAAAGGAGGAAAAAGAGTAGAAGGAAGAGGAGATATAAAATTAGGAAGAACGGTTAGAAAGGCGAACAAGAGAAGGAGAGAAAAATCAGGTGAAGACGCTAGATGATAATAAGAGTGAGGGAGGAGGAGGAGAGGAGGAAGGTGGGAGGCACTCAGGGAGTTGCTTGAAGAGCACCTGTGTGTTGAGAGTGTGTTTGTGGTGGCGGTGGGGGCGGCGGAGGGCTCTCTGTCCATCACTCACCCCTGCTCGAGCACCACAAGGCTCGCCTCAACACATCACCACCTCGCATTTCGGCTCTAGTAAGGCTTACTTCAAGTTCTCTTGGAATGTGTGCTACGCAATTTTATTCATTATATATATATATATATATATATATATATATATATATATATATATATATATATATATATATATATATATATATATATATATATATATATATATTATGCATTTGTATATATTTGTATTTTAAGTATGTTCTGTTTTGCTTTCAAAAGGGTCATTTGAAAGTAAGCTTTAAGTTTAAGAATTGATTGTATGTATGGAGAACCAGATTGTGAAGAAGGAAGTGGTAGTTGTGGTGGTAGTGTGGTAGTGAGAGCGGTGAGGGAGTGAGGTGATGGGAGGCGTGCAATAATGGTAGTGATGGGGATGGTGTGTGGTGTGGTGGCGGGCCGGTGATCCCTC